GTTTAGGGTTTTTGGATTTGGGGTTTCTAGGTTTAGAGTTATTGGTTTAGGGGTTTAGGGCCTCTGGATTTAGGGCTTCTATTCTGGGTTTTGGGTTTCCGGGTTCAGGGCCAGCATGTTGCTGACGGTGTGCTTGTTCTGGCATGAGGAGGCCTGGTGCCTCGTGTGGATCGATACGATTGAAAAGGTGTCTGCCAGCTCTCCTTGGATGGCTTGTCACAGTCTTGCTTCCTACTTTTCCTAAGTCATGTACGGATGCTATACAACCCTCTTGCTCTCCAATTCGGTCTCAGTCAAGACGATTATGATGTTGTGTGCAGTGCCCTGCATGGTGTTTCCAACGAGCCATTCAAGCAATTGAAGGTTATCGTCATTAGTAAAATCATTCCGGAGGCATGGTTGGCACGAGTCCGAAGGCTTCTAGCTTAAAGCTGTNNTAGCTTAAATCTGTGGGCTTCGGGTGTGCCTCTTCTTTTTGTCCCGGTTGAGTCGCTGCAAACACGATGCAAAAAAGGGTCAGAATCCTCTCTTCAGCGCTGCCCGGCAGTCGCAATAGCCCTGGATGCAAAAAAAGGGTTTCTGGGCTGGGCGGTTTAGGGTTTCTGGGTCTGGGGTTTCTTGATTTATTGGTTTAATTTGTTTCTAGGGTCAGGGTTCTTGGGTTTGGGGTTGCAGGATTTAAGGTTATATCAGGGTCAAAACCCACCCTTTGTAGGCGCTGGGGTAGCAACTCCGAAATTCTCCCAAAGACAAAAGACAGCCAGCAAGCACACAAGCGCAGATGCAGTGCACACAAAATACAGCAGAAAAGATGACAAACATACAGAATGCACCACTCCCCCGACCCCAAAGGACCTAAGTTACCTGGGGTTGCGGAGATGCGTTTCGGTGTATTATTGGAAGCGTCCCCCACGTCCTGGAATAATGACATAACGTCCCCACTCAGGAACACGTTAGAAAACTATTTCGACCACCCATTTCCTGCCGATCGTCACTCAGTCGCGGATTTGCTTTACAGGGCTATTTCTGTGACATGTTTCAATTATGTGACATAATTGAAACATAATTATATGTGTTAGCAATTTTCTGGCACTTGCAACTGCTCTCCCAGTACTGCTTGATTACAGTTCTGCTGCACGCAAAAACACCGACTTCGCGGAGCCTGGTCGTGTATCGGTAAGGCATGATCTTGGGTCGCATAAGTTATTGGTTGTTCTGTCGTTTTGGCTGGATTGTCTGTTGTCGGTTGTTATGTTTCTTGTCGTTGTATTTTCCCAGATTTCGGACTCACCGGAACTACAAACCACTATAGCGCAGAGGCGAAGCTTGAATGTCAAGCCGTGGACAACTGCAAGCTCGAGTGACAAGCAAATGACACATACAAGCCAAAATGGATGATGAATGATGCTATGGTTTCCAGATGTTGCTACATCTTGAAACTGTAGACGGAAACATGGCATCAAGCCGGAGGCTTCATGTAATTGGGGATATTCCGGCTACGTTTCGGAATGCAGAGGGCAGTCTTGGTGGCAGTAGCCTTGCGAGCCATGCTCTTGTGACAAAAGCTCTTCACTTCTTCAATTGTGCATTGCGCTTCAACTTAGCGAGTGCTGTCGTTCGTGGGGACGGTGAGACGGCTGCTGTGGTTGGGAAAGTGGGGGCTGCGTGGCATCGTGCGGGGCTCTCATGGAAGTTTCGACCAAGCTTTGCTGGTCGTATAGAACCAGCCTATGCTCACCTTCGTGCTGCAGTGAAATGGAAACAGTCAACAGCCGATGTTGCAGGACGTTACAAACAGACTCTTTGCAGCGACCCAGAATTTACGTGACTGTGCAAATTTCGAGTAAGGTTTTCCAAAGATAAATTACCTGGTGCGAGGTGTCATGTCGATAGAGTGTTTGATGTTTATGCTCAGGAGGTTACTGGCTGTCGCCGCCTCTGGCTACCAAACGGGCACCGCGGCAGGGTGTGGCTGAAGTTGACCTGACAGAAGGCCCAGAAGCTGTTTGTCACGTCTTTCCTGGCATGTAGGTGTGTCCTTGTGTTGCAGGACTGGATGCAGTGGTTGCCTGGTCCATGCGTCTCACTGACAAGCCATTACCAAAAGGCTCCATTGCCCACATCTGGCATCCGGACCGTGAGATCGAAGGCCTTTGTTCAGTGTTTGTACAGTGCCGTTTGTAGGATTTCAAGGGCACTTATCTTCGAGGTCACACGAACATGGTGCCGGAGGCTATCGAAGTCATGAATGGGCAACACGGCTGCGCTGGCAACATCGTGCCCGAGAAAGTCATGTCGTTTCCATTCCCACAGAAAACCTCAAATTGTTTCAGACCAGCCCCACACAGACGTAGCCTTCGGTCACCGAGGCTTGCTGCCGCGGAGGGCGTGAAGACAATTTGCGAAGTTGGCTTCAATGCTGGCCACAGCGCGCTGCGATGGTTGACGTATTCCAGTGCGAAGGCCGTTTTTCTGGCTCTATGCTTCTGCATCGCTTGCCTTTGCAGTGGTGACTGTCGTTGTCCATGGCCTGGAGCTGGAGGTGCTCTCGTTCGATCTCGGAGATCACCCTTACTCCCGACCGGCTGCCATGTGGCTAGCGAGCCAATTTCCAGAGCAACCCCGCCGCAAGTTCAGAGGAGAGAGATGCAAAGAACGGAGCTCAACCTTGTGCGATTGCTTCGGCAGTTCTTCCTGCGCTTCTCCTGAGGCGGCTGGAGCTGATATGGGGCGACTCCTTGGCAACGGTGCCGGAGTTTCACAGACGGAAGCCTGGGGTCCAGCTCCAGGCTGAGCTGCCCCTCCTCCTCCTCCTCCTTTCCAATGTGTTTTGTCTATACATAAGCAGCGCTTGTATCCCAGGTGTGAGTTGATCTTCATAGACGGTGGCCACAGCTACGACTGTGCTATCCGGGACCTGAAGAACTTGGCGGGCCTCGCGAATCTGAAAAACAACCGCATCCTGCTTGATGATACATTCCTGGATGATGTTCGCCGGGCATGGGACGAGATGCTAGAGATGGGGTATGTGGAGGAGTTCTGGCCTGAGGGGGTCTGTCGTTGTGAAACATGACTCGGGCTAAGCTGTAGCATGAGCCGACCTTGTGTCTTGCAACGCTGCAGGTTGCAGAGCTTTTCGGGTGAAATTGAAGTTGGCAGCTATGGTTTCACCGTGGGCATGTACACAGAGCGTGCGGCTGAATTGCTGCGGGTAGGAGCTGTAGAATAGGCTGCTGCGAGCAGTCGTCGGCAAACCGAGTGCAGTGGACTGCGCTGCTAGTTGCGACACGGATTCGGCACGGCGGCTTACGGCTTCGGAATCAGGTGCAGCTTCTTCATCTGAGATGCATTTTCGGCAAGCCTCCAGGATCTAGGACCCTAGGAGCAGAGGGAGGAGAGAAAGCCTGCCATGATCCAGTTGTGGTGCACTGGGCCACATGCCCAGGGAGGTTCTTACCATCCAGGCCTCCAGCTTTGAGCCTCTTACTGTAGTGACTGTAGTGGTTGAAGTGATGCATTTCGGCTTATCCACTGGCATACACGGCTGAAGTGTTGTGGCGCACATTCCTGTGCAACATTGCGGAAGGTGGGCCAATGCGGCAATCAGATCGGCTGCCGATTCTGGGATTTAGCACTTCGCCACATCGAGATTTGCAGACTTTCCTGAGAGCCCATTAGCGGCTTAGCGCAAGTGGATCGGTGCTTTGCCCACTAAGGTCTTGCGTGAACATGCTTTCGTGTCAAAGACTGCGGTCTACGATGCAGCTTTGTCTTCTTTCTTTCGCAATGTGGACACAAGACACGCGAACTTGCCGAGCCTACCCGTTGGAGATCAGATACGGACGTTGAAGGCCCGGTGTCTTCTGGTGGATATGGAGGAGGGTGTCGTAAACTCGCTCTTGACAGGGCCATTGGCTGACCTCTTTGATGCCCGTCAGAGAATTACTGATGTTTCAGGTGCCGGAAACAACTGGGCGCACGGCTACCATGTCTACGGGCCAACCTATCGCGAAAGCATCGAGGAGAAAGTTAGAAAGGCTGCAGAGCAGTGCGACTCGTTGCAATGCTTTCTCCTGCTACACTCTCTCGGTGGTGGCACCGGAAGTGGGCTGGGAACCTACATCTTGGAGGCCCTGGAAGACTACATGCCCGAGGTTTTCCGATTCGTGTCCTGCGTTTGTCCATCCAGAGATGACGACGTGGTGACATCACCCTACAACACGATCCTTGCCATGCGCCCGCTCATTGAAGCCGCGCACTGCGTGCTGCCAACATCGAACGATGCCCTCGCTGGCATTTGCAACCAGATCTCCGCGCGCGATGCTGGGGAAGATGCTGCGCAGGCCACTCTCATCGACCTGCCACAAGATGAGCGGCAAGGCGGTCGTCGCCAATCGGTGCAATGTGATTTGATCCGGTTGTCTCGCTTTCGGGTATTTAGGTCGTAGAAGGATTCGTGAGCCTCGCCTTCGGCTGTCTCGCGCCTGTTCCGTGTGACACGACTGGGCATGGAAGGGCGCCGAGTTAACGGCACGTGAGTATTCCCACACCCCGAAAGTTCCACATCGGCGGCTCAGGTAATTAGGAAGCAAAATTGGAGCTGTACCTAGGCCCTCCGCGCCCCAGCAGAACTTCGAGGACAGCTTCTGCACCTCCCAGGAAAAGGCTCGCCCTGTCTCTGTGCCTTCGTTTGCTGAGCCCATTTGCCTCCAGCTGTTGCTGTGGTACCTGTGACATGAATTTCACGGCCTCGCTGCCGAAGGGACGCGGAGGCGGTTGTGGAAGCAGCGATGCTTCACGAAGCTCCAGTGCCACGATCTGCAGGGGAGAGGCTTCGGGGACTGCAGGTTTCTGCAGAATCGGTTCCCAGCGGGCAAATCTTCGCCCGAAAGTGTCAGGCGACCGCGTTCCGCCGGCGCCGAACGGCCCTTCGACAGAATGAACTCTCTAGTGGCCCACCTGCTGAACAACCTGACGAGTTCGATGCGATTCGAGGGATCTCTGAACCTGGACTTGAACGAAATCACAATGAATTTGGTGCCGTTTCCGCGAATGCACTTCTTGCTGGCATCGATGAGCCCGCTATACTTCGGCAAAGACCCCCGGCTTGTTTCCAGAGGTCGGGTGCTGAAACGTGGCCGCGGTGTTGGCACCGCAAAAACGACCTGTCAACATGTGAATTGGGCTTTCCTGAAGTGAAGAGGCTTCCACCAGATGTTCTCGGATGTGGTCACGCAGGGCCATCAGCTGATGAATGTCGATCCCAGGCAAGGTCGGTTGATGGAGACGCCGAGATACCCAGCGAGATTCATAGTGGAACCTTATGACTCATGACGTATGAGCTACAGTGTAGACACACCAACCACCAACAATCGAAGTGTGTTCTTATCTCGACCTCACTGTGCAGCAGATGTCAACAAATCACTGTTGCTGACTCTGAGTGCTCGGCTGAGATGCCACAAGTCCTCCGAAACTCATTCATATCACTTTCAGAGATATCTTAGAGAGTAGAGAGTTCAACAAAGCCAGAAGCTCATCGCCAGCTGATGCCAGGGGAAGCACATACATGGCGCTAGCTTTCTTGGTTCGCGGTTCCGCATCGATTGCGGACGTGAATCGCGGCTTGAAGAAAAAGAGATATAAGCCAATGGCTTTTGCATCTAATTACTTGGTCTAGCTGCCCCGACTTGGCCTGCACACTACAGGCAACATCGGTCAGCTCCGGAAGAAGCTGAAGCTCTTGCCATTTAACGAAGATGCCTTCAAGTCGCTTTGCTTACACTTACATTGTTTTCGCTTCTGTACCGCATGCACCGCATCTTCGCGACCTGTGGGAGGATCGGCCTGTGCAAAGTCGCTCCTCGAGGACTTCCGTACTCGGTGCTTCATTTGGGAAACACCTGTGCGGCGCACCAGATGTTCAGCCACACTGCCTCCTGGCATCAATACTGTATGGACAAAAAGCATGCCCGTGAGAAGAGAAGTCGTGGTTTTCATGGTCCGATGAGATGTGCAGCCATCGAGGTGAAAAACTTTTCACGGCTGTATTCGCGGAAAGCGCATGTGCATCACTATACGAACTTCATGGAGCGCGAGGAGTTTGACCAGGCCTTCGAAACCGTCAATTCGCTGATTAAGGATTACATCCACTTGGACATGCTGCAGCCGGGTTGCCGCAAGAGCGCGTTGCATCTTGAGAACATTTCTCTGTCTTGCACTGTCTTGGGGCACTCATATAACTGCACACATTGTCGAGGCATGAGACTCCGACTTCGTGCTGCAACTCGGTTCTCTGGTGCTGATCACATGTAGTGGCCTCCCAGCTTTTGAGCTGCCGATTCATGCTTGATCTCAGATCCAGAAGCTGCTGCACACAACTCAGCCTCCATGCTGCTGGCGCCATCTTCCTGGGCTTCGGCAACAGGTCGGGGTCTAGCTGGGAGATTCATTGCCCAAAAAGAAGCTCTGGCAGGGCAGTGCCCACCTGGACCAAGCTTTGTTCCGCGCCCTCTAATATGAGTGCTGCCTCTGCTCCCTGAAGCTGGTGTTCCCTGCCTGTCGGCTGAAACAAGTAGAGAGTCTGCACATCGTGGGCAGGAGCCTTAGGCACTGCTAAGGCGATGCTTCGAAGCCAAGCTGTTGAAAGCATCACGATGAGTGCTGCAAAGACCGGGGATCGCTCGACCTTGGCGCTGACGTGCTGTGCTGCGAGATGACGGGGAACAGCTGCGACCCTGTCGGCGAGCGTCTGCAGAGCGACGCTCAGCCTGGAACCCTGCCCGACGCTTGCGACCGAGACGGGACCGCTCGAACCAGCCAGGATCTCCAGTGATGGAGAGGTTCTGCGGCCAGCGGACAAAAGGAAACTAGTGATTAATGCGTTGGTGATCACGGATGTGATTGCTTTGAGTGATGTGCTCTCAGGCCGATACCCTCGATCCGTTTTGAACTGCTGACTGCGGATGGAGGCTTCTGCCTTGGCATCCTCTGCCGGTTCTCAGTGTCTTTGGACCAAACCACAAGATGCTCATCTGCTCCTGAATATCCTGAGTGTTTGAGGCATGTTCAGCTTCGTGCTGGAGCCGAAGGACTTTGCCGAGGTCTGCACTGGGCCCAAGATCTGATCGCTTCCTGTCGGCTGTGGTACAAGAACAGGTGAAAGGCACGGACTGCGTTTTCGCGTTCCAGTGCTGGCCTTAAGAAGCTCCGGATGAGCTCACCCGGGAGGGGGGGGCCGTTTTTGAATTTTGGAGGCCCGTGGACCTGCCACCGAACCTGGGGCCTATGTGGGTATTCGGACAGACAGCGCTGAGGACCCTTCGGGCTTGAAGCCATGCGCTTTCCTGGCATAGCATGTGGAAGTGGACATGTTTGATGTTTTTTTGTGCTTTTGCTTTCAGCTTTTCCGCTTTAACTAGGTTGTGTGATGTTTCTATTTGTGCTTTGCTCTATTTGTGCGTGTGTGTGTGTGGTGGCTGTTTATGTTGCTACCTGTTTTTTGTTGCTTGTGCTTTTGTGTTTTTGTGCTTTTGCTTTCTGTTAGGAAGCACTTATTCAGGGTCCGGTGTTTTTCCTAGCGAAGCAGCGGGAAAATTGAAGATTTTCGCCTGCACTGCCTCTATGCTACTACAGACGATTACCCCAAGCGTTTCCTCACTGAACTCTGAGCTCCACATTTTTTCATTTCGCTGCATTCAGAGGAGTGCGCTGCCTAATGAAAACATGCGAACTGGCAATGAGGCCATCCCTACACAACTACATACCCTTCATGGCCCGCTCGATCATGGTAATGCCATCATACTCATGGGATGCATAACCCTCTGCCTCATCATCGTTTTCGTGAAAGCAGAGCTCTTGACAGACGCTTGTGGCTTGGCAAAGCAAGCGACGCCGGTGAAGGCCTCTTGCTTACAATCGCCTGCAATGTCATGGCACTCTCCGTCCGAGCGCTGTTGATGCCAGCCTCGACAGTGTCCTTGCAGCCTCCGGCTGGGGCGACGACGAACAGCATTTCCAAGCGCAAACCCCATCTGCACAAGCCCACATGGCTCCTACCTAGCAGCTCTGTGTATATTCACATCTGGCGAGCAGCTTGTAGTGCTCCACTCTTCTCCAGCCTGCGTAGAACGGCTGCAGCTTTGTTGTATGCTACTCAATCAGCTTTTCCAACACGGAGTTGTGCAAATCGGTATTAGGTATGCTCCAACACTACCATGACCTCGCGGAGGAAGTCGTAGCTCGAGCGGGCATTCAACCTTTCGATGAGACTCCCCTCCCCTCTCCTCCCCTCCTCTCCGCTCTCCTCCCCTCCCCTTCACCCCCCTTCACCCCTCCCCCCCCCTCTCTCCCTCCCGTCAGAGCGCAAAGCAAAAAACAAATCCAAAGAATGCAACAGCAATCTCCAGATAATTCCGGATCCATAGCATATGTCGACTGACGGACGGAAGGAAGTACTACACGGTCTATGATGCAAAGCGATGGCAAGTTGGCGTGGGTGCTTTGGCTTTGCGTGGAAGCTGTTCCGTAGTAAATGGCTTCATGAGTCTTGACAGCAAGAGCGTCTAAGGATTGGCAAGGCATTCTGTGCCGCCCTCGAGATGTAAGACAGTTCGATGCACTCCTCCATGTTCGGCCGATATGCGGGTGTTGGCCAACTGGTTGCAACTGTTCTTCACTTCATCTGCAGAAACTCAAGTAAGAATCTGGGACAGTTCACCGTGATGCGTGTCTAAGCTTCATTTTGAGACCATGACCATGACCTTCGACCGAATTTATGTCGAGAAACGTTTTGAGATGGCACTTGCCAGCATTCTCAGTGCCACGTACAAGGAAAAGGCAAATCTCCTAAACAGCCCAGGGTCCGAATCCCGCCTGCAGGGGTCCGACATGAAGCTTCTTCGAAAGGTACTGTATCAGGAGCACAAACTCAAGCTTGGGAGGGCCTTTTGATGTTGATGTTGCTGCAGTGTTGCTGAGTACAGACGTGTGCACACCATTAGGGGCCGAGTATCCGAGGCCCAGAAGCGCACAGGATCTTTGGTTCAAGATGGCGCATCCGCACAAAAGAAAACAGAACCGGAGGCCAGCTGTGGTGCAGGCCTTCACGTCTCCCCGGTTTGAGATCTCTTGCTTTGCTCGTGCAGGTCTGCGAGGACGACAACAAGAACATGGCGTTTTGCTGAGCACGCTACAGGTTCAAAGACAGCACATGTTTTTTGGCGAACCCAAGGTTTGGAACCACTTGCCCGGATGCAAGTCTTTTGCTACGCCCTCGGCTTCTGCAAGTCGCGAAATGCGGGGCAACACGACCGCTAGCTCCGACACTATCTAGTTTCTACAAGCACACTGATGGGGACGAGGCTTCGATGGGCTATTGCCACCGTTTCCCACCGCTGGCCAGCTTGTGGACTCAGCTTATGCAAGTTTCATGCTGGTTGTGCAGAGAACTTGTGCCGAGCATCGCATCTCCAAACCAGGGAAGTACTGTCGGCTCTCTTGCGCGTTATGCACTGCCGCCACTTCCGTGCCTCTGGCAAAATTCAGAGCTTGAAACCTTGGCATCATGTCGTCGCATGACGACATGGCAGGTGAAGACCAGCCCGGCCGATTTGATCGAAGAGAAAGACCTGCAGGCCCCCTTGGTGCTTCGTCAAAATTGTCGTCGCTGATCTCATGTAGCCCTATAGGAGAGCTCCCCAGCGCCCGTGCAGGCCCGCACCAGCGCATGGGTGCTCTTGCAACTTGTTTGGTGCTTGTAGTTCGCATGTTGAGGTGGCAGGCTCTGGTATGAGACTTTCTGGTGCTCGGCGTGGAGTATCGCCAGCATGTGCTTCGTGCCCCAGAAAGTACCTAGCAAGTTGTCTCATGCCAGGTTGTGAAGCTGAGAACGCTCGGTACTGATGAAACGTGACCGCCCAACGAAAGATTAGGCTGGGTGGCAAAAGCACTTCCGCCAAGTCACGATGGCAGAGAGGTGCTAAAGAGTTTAAGTCACCGTTTGCGGTCGAATACTGACCTGCAGACAGAGCCAGCGAGGCTCTTGGAGTCTTAGAGTTTCTGCACCAGGGTGAAGAACTCCTCTGGTTTGGCCAGGACAGTCGGGCCATGTGCAGCACGGCACCGACCTTGCTTCTGCTAGAAATTTCAGCAGAAAAGTGAGCTACCGCATTGATGCCCAAAGATTCATAGCTAGGGGTAGTTTTTGCATGAGATTGCATGGCACCGATGCCTTTGGTCCACAGCTGCGGGTGCCCTGCGGGTGCGCTGCACAGGATGCCCATTGCACAAGACGGACGTCCCTGTGCATAAATACAACAACGCACACGTTTCACTTCGCTGTGCTTGACGTGGTTTGTGTGGATGGTGCGTATGGACTTAGCATCTTGCCAGGGCGGCATGCAGGGGGGGTGGAACTCTCGAAGTAAGGAGGAGGGCGGCACTTGTCGAGTGTGCAGCTCAAGGGAACAAGAGCCTCACGGTATGCGACTTCGGGGGCTGTGTGCGAGTGGGTGTGAGGGACATGGGCAGCGGTCGTGGTTCGAAAGTCTTCGGCTGAAGATGGTTGAAGGTTGAAGGTGAAAGAACCTGAAGCAACATGACACAACATGCGGTGTTCTTCACTTCAAAGTCTTAGGCAAGGTCGTAAAGTTGTTGGATAAAGTGGTGGTGGAGGCTGGATGTCGGAAAACTCCGCGCCACGGGCTCAAATCGCACGACTGTCCGCAAAAATGGTGCAGTATCATCGTAGATACAAGAAGTCTGTGGCAGGTCGGCCAAAGCTGGAAAAGAGTCTTCCAAAGAAGGCCCACGTGACATTGCCTGCAGATAGCGTGTTGTGGCTACATCACACCGGCTCAGGGGATGCAGAAGAGCACAAGCAGGATAAGCAGGCAATGGCTTGACGTTTTGGCGCAGTCCTGACGTAATCGCTGGACCGTGTCGTTCCGGTTACCTCCATACAACATCAGTGCACGCAGCAATCTCGGCTCACACATGCCTCAAAACCCTTCCAGTCGTAGGGGCAGCTTTCAACCGCCGATGGTTGCACAGCGAAGGTCCAGGCCAGAGCATTTGTGAGGTTCCCAATTGTTAGCACCGGCCGTTTCAGGTGTTGCGGCAGCATCCCTTCTCCGACATGCGGCTTCCCAAGGTGAAGAACAAGCACACGGCAACGGTGCAGGCACCTTCTCCCAATGAACCTCATGAAGCCTTTTTTCTCCCGGCCTCTGCCATTGACCAGGTCTCTGCGGAGGATCTCATCCCTGGCCCTCCGCTGAGTCTTTCAGGCAACGCCGCTGCACCTGTGCTTGGGCCACCTAAGGCCTTCGCTGAAGCCAATTTCTGAGAGTGCCAGCTTTTCGGCCCAGACACACGCACACACACACACAGACAGAGACAGACACGAACTTGGCTCCTGGCGAAATGTCGGTTATCGCACAAACGCAGTAGTCAGTACCTGCACAGAGCTATGGCGGCAGCTGTTTGCTCTGAGCATCTTGGATTGTCGGAGGCTTGTGCCCATGGATGCGAAGCCCAGGTGGTGTGGTTTCTGATGCACATGAACATGAACACAGACCGGTCAGGCTTCAGATTTCAGCCTGTCGAAAGAAGCCCTATGCATGCTGCAGCTATGCATGGCCATGCTGGCTGTGTCTCCTTGCTGCTTGAGTTGGGTTGCTTCAGTGTGGATGAAGTAGACCAGTCGGGCGCAACACCAATGGCATACGCTTGCGAGAACGGCCACTTGCAGGTCGTCCAGCTTCTGTCCTCTCATGGGGCCCGACGAAACCACTTGCGCGATGTGGCTGGTGGTTATTTCGCTTTTGAGGCTGCAGCTGCTCATCATCAGATTGTGGAATGGCTTGCGCGGACCAAAGATTGGTGTAGCCCTTTGCATCATGCAAGCCTGCTGCCCGTCACCAGAGTGACGTCCTTACTAAGAGCCGGCGCCTCACTTCACAGACGCCGTCGCGATCCGACCAGGTGCTGCATATCACCTCTGGAACTTGCAGAAGACACTTCCTCTTTCTCTGAGTCGTCTCAGCTAGTAGTTCGAGCCTCCAAGCCTTGGTCGGTATCCACACACAGCTTGTTTCCTTGTGCCACGCGTCGCCATGCCATGGATCTCATCTTCATAGGCTACTCCGTCGCAAAGCATCGTGGCCGACCAGTTTGCGACATTTGGCGCCAGTACGTGATTCCGCTGCTGGTTGAACGGCTGGATGCATATCAAATGCAGTCCCAGCACCCCAAAGCTCACAAGCAATTGCACCGGCTTGTTTTCACTGCTCGGTCAGCAAAGTCCGCCGCATAAAGTGAGGCAGGAATCGTTCGTTGCCGTGGGCTTAGTGGCCGACTTGCGATCCAGGAAAGGGTGTGGCAAAGCCTAAGTGGCCACGGTTCCCCCAAGACGGACCACAGCTCTGAACCGAAACAGACATATTCTGGTGAACGGATTCCGAAACGCACTTGCCCACAGAAGTTTGAGACCTTGGTCTGGGTCCGTGGCAAAGTTTTCTGAAGAAGTGATGTTTAGTAGAATCGCGGAAGACTGGAAGCAGGAGAAAGATCTGCGGCTTCGGAGATCGGGCCGTCCAAGCTTGAGGCAGCAGAGGCCAGCCATGTTGGTAGTTGCATGCTCTCGCTGACATTCCGGCTTAATTATCCTTGTAGTTCCGATCTGAAGCGAGAGACCTCGTCTGGCAGTTTCCCAATTGCGAGAGCGTGGAGTTTTTGGAATTCGGGGCAGCGCGTGAGTAGAGTCGCTTAGAGGCTTTAGAATGTCAGAGATGAGGCTTGTGGTGCAGAGGGCAGAGTGTAGAATGTGGGGTTCGTGAGTCCAGCATCACTCACTCCAGAAGTCGTCAACCATGAGGACAACAGGTACTAGGAGAAAATAAGAAGCATCTGCCCAGGAAGCATTGGCTCTTCAAGAGTTCAAGCGCGAGCGACAGGAGGTATCCCGCCGAAGCTTTGCTGCAGCTCCAGCCACGATGCACCTGCGGAGCTGTGCCTCTTCGCTACCGTTGCCCAAGGCCATAGGCCATAGTGACATGAGTGACATAACTATCAAGCCCACCAAAAGGGCACCCTGCTCCTAGCAAGAGCGAGCGGGAAAGGGCCCACATGATCTGGTATCCAACCGTGTCCCAAAACAGGGCAGCTAGTGCAGCCAGCAACTTGCCAGCGAGAGGGCATCAGGGGCTTTACAGGCCACATCCTGCAATGCCGCCACGACACAACTTGCTGGTGAAGCAGGTCCCAACAACGAGCTTGCAGCATCTCTGCGTCGTGCTGAGTACACAGCAGGTCGGCGGCGTGGGCACCAAGACTTTGAGGCACGTGCTTGGCAGAGCCACTGAACAAGTTCGACACATGGGCAGACCAGGCCAAAATGGCTGGGACTTGCACTCCTCAGTGCCGCTGCTGGCCGTTTCAGACACCTGGCAAAAGCTGGTGGACTGTGGAACAGAGACTGGAATGTTTTTCCTTGCATCGCATTGAAAGGCTTGGGCTCGTGGGGATCCTCCTTCGGGCTTTGCTCGTGGAAGCGCCCGTGGATTTCGCACTGGAGAGGCCGCCAACACTGCTAGCCTGTCAACCCCACACAGGCAGGTTGCAGCCAAGTGAAAGATGTGAGTCTCGGCAGGCAGACTTCGGGCTGTCGCCAGTTCCTTGCAGGAGCCCATGCCTTTAGATGAGGAGTGCCCGCAAAGCATTCACCGCGCAGTGCTGCAAAGCAATGCTCCGTCTCCGCGCCCGTCCGCACCGATCACGGCCGTGAGGAAACAGTTCGACTACACAAATCTTACCACGATACCTAACAGCATCTGGCCGTGACCCAAGAGGACGCCAAGAAGGCGCTGTTGACCCGTGCACCGAGGACAGAACCGTCGACTACACTGTGCCGACCTGCAGCCATGGTGTTCGCATGGACCAAACTTGCGTCGAGTAGTCAGAGGTACAGAACTATGACTGGGTGAATGCAAAGCTTAGTCCTTGGATGGAACGAGCGCAGAGTCTTCAGGACATGTGCTGTGTTTTCAAAGACCGACACTGTCAAGCTGCACAATTTCCAGGTCATACAGCACCGACAGCACAATTGCGCAAGAGGACTGACTGTTGGCGTAATCTGGCAAGCTCGCGCCCGCGCCTTATTGCTCGCTCGTCTCCTCGCAGAGGGTGGAAAGACACAAATTGTGGACTTGCTAATCTTGCCCTGCGCAGGAGCACGATGACGTGTGGCGCGTGTCCAAGACGCGCCTACAGCATTGGCCACAGTTGGAGCAGCAGCATATACACGAGGTGCCTGACAACAGCCGCAGTTGTGCATGGCCTTCTGAAGCTGTAGTTGCCTTGGAGCTGCACGGCCTGCTGCTGGGTGCCAGGTGAGTTTCAATTCAAAGCCGCAACGATTCTGCGACACGGCCGATGCTGAAGCACTGGGAGACCCCGGGGACAACATTTTCATCATCAACCTGCGGCTTGCTGGGCACGGAGGTAGAACATTGACTGTCATGAGTGTTCAAAGCACAGATAGCAAAGGCCACGCAGACCAGCGAAACTGAAACATGCGGCTTGTCTGCCATGGATTTCTCTCTCTTATGGATGGATGGCTAACAGTGACAGCCACGCCTACACGCCCAAGACATGCAAGTTCACCGACCCGGGCTGTGCACACGTTGGCATATTTGGCGTTACATTGTGCTCGGAAGCCCAAACTGCGCATCAGCTGATCGGCTGGTTTTGTGGACGGGTTTAGGGTTTTGTAGATGGCAGGTCCCATCACTTGTCTTCCCGATTCATTTCGTCATGTGCACAGATGCTGGCGAAAGCTTGGATGTTCGGGACGAGCTGTGGCTTAAGAAAAAAACGTGGTTTTGCAATGTGATGATTGATAGCAGGCTCCGGTGTGCTCTTTCGTAAAGATTAGCCCGGCCGCCCCTGCGGATACGGATGACACGCACTTAACACCCGCTGGCTTCGAGGCACTTCGCGCTGATTATGAACAACGGGTTTGGGGTTTAGGGCCAATCATTGGCGGCTGATCGGCTGATGTTTTTGGGCCCAAAAGCCGCGTGCACACTTGTGTTACACAGCTTGACAACAGCAACCAAGAGCGACAACAGGAGTTCGGAATGCTTCCGGTGCTAGTTGCTCCGTTCCAGGTCCTGGCACAGCTCCATGCAGAGGGATTGAATGCAAAGATTGTGGACGCCATTGACGGTGATGCCTTCACTTCCCAGGCCAGCACCACCACGCTGCCAGGGGTCTCATTTGGAAGATTTCGGACTTGTGCTTCGACGGCTTAGGTCCAAAGAAGCTGCTTGCAGCTCGTAGTAGTGATTTTCAGAACAGACAACAAATCAAGCAGTCGCAGCACGTGCTCAGGAAGAGATCGCCAAGTTACTTGGCAGACGCGCTGATTTTTATCAGATTCCACGCCTGCCAGTGCATGGAGAATTTCATATGGTCACCACTGCCCATCCCATACACACAAACTGTGCTAAGATGAATGGTATGATACTGTAGGACCTTAGGATGATGCCGCGATGAGCAGCAGAGTTCCCATCCTGATATGCAGTCTTGGTGGGTCCCGGTGCCAGAGCTTTCAGCATTGCGCTCCGCTAACGGGACTACTACCTCCCATTCAAGCCTTGTGTCCTACAAATAAGGCTTGGTGCAAGCACGCTGCCCAACTATTGCGGGCATAAGTATCTCTTTGGCAATCAGGTTTGTGACTACCTCAGGGGTCAAACTTTGTTCTGCACTGAGCGGGTCAGTGCTGTCAGCGAGGCACACGCTGCCACACCTCACCACCGGCCAGCTTGGCTGCTTCATGAGCCACTTCACAATCTGGCACTACATGGCTGCTGGTCGAAGATGGGTCACATCGCGAACCGTTCGAGCCAGTGAGTGTTGAGCAGTTTTCCGATGTTGAGCTAAGTGAGGTCGAGCACAGCATTCCATCAGCTTTGATTCTAGAAGATGACTTCGACTTGTGCCATTCCGGCATTGGTCGCAGTGTGCAACGACAAGCCACGCATCTTCCGCAGCTGATCCCGGATTTGTCGAGGCAAGAGAATTTCAGGGAAAGACTTGGCAACTATTTGGAAGAAGCGCGAAGCCATGATTGGAACCTCATGCTTCTAGGAGGCACTGGGCAGAATGAACTTCTAGACTTGTGATGTGCTTCGCAGAAACGCAACACTGCCAGTAAGAGTGAGCATATTCGCTCAGTCTTAGGTACCTGGGGCGTAGTCCGACAGAGCCTGACATCTCCCGCATCAGCGCGCACTTGGCACAGCCCGGTGTGATCCCTAGATTTCATGACGCTACAGGGCTGTTCCACAGCCCCTGTCTTGTGAGGTTACACTCTGTGGACCGTGGGGCAGCTTGGGCAGCACAACGGGAGCAGAGCCGGCCCTTGCTCATCATGTGAAGAGTGAAGAGGTACATCTTCAAGCTGGATGCAGCTCGAGCTCTGGTAGAGGCCAATGTGGAGACCAGACTGGCCCCTCTGGCTGCCCGGCTGGCCATTTCAGCTGTGCACCTGCACATGAATTACTTGCTTCACTCGGCACCAGGGGTCCAAGAGCTCAGGATCATTATTTCTCGGTGGCCATGGGGCAGGGCTTCAGTGGCCATTGGAACGAGAACGCAGTGGAGTGGAGCAAGTGGCATAGCTTCATTGCTGCAGGGTGAGCGATTATCTTCACGGTGCCAGAAAGCGAGGTACATTCCACAGGTCTTGCGCGGATTGGCAATAACCCCACCACTAGTAATGCCGCTGCTGGGCTGCAATGATGACTTGTAGGAAGGCATTGGCAATGGCTCATCTGCATAGACATTCTCTGTGCGGCCGAGGTACGTTGGTTCAATGTTCCTCAGCGACACAGCCATGTTGCGCTCGGCCCCCAGTTGGGAACGAAAGAGCACTCATGTCGGCCATGGCGGCGCCTTCACTTAAATGGCCCTTCTCGCGATCAGGAAATGGCACAAAGTTTGTGACGGACTTGCCTCAGCGCGAGGCATCGGCATCAGCCGTCCCACAACGCTAGAGAGCCTGAGCTTTTCTCTATTCCTTCGCTTTCCTTGCCGTTTGCTGTCTCAGGGCGATCCTTGGCCAGCCGGCCGCAAGCACGAGGCCGAGTGGCGCGCGGCGCAAGGGGCCCCGTGCTCAGAAGCTCAGCACTGCGACACTTTACACGGCCAAGCACGATGTGTGTCCCGCCAGGTTAGTGAGCTCTGAGCACTTCCTGTGAATAGTTTAGCAGACGGGTATTGTCGTGCGCTTGAATGCGCTTTATGATTTAAGTGTGACTTATACGTACGAGCTTGGTCGTCTCAGTAGGAGAAACAAGCCCATGTTTCACGAACTTACGCAGCGTAAGTTATGCATGCACGAGTAGCCGCCTGAAGCGTGGAAGAAAGCTTCACAGCAGCCACAGCATGGGAGCCTTGTCTCGTTTGCAAGCTGGATTAGGGATCTTCGTTGCAACATTATTCCGTCAAGTTCGATGTGGCATGTTGTACATCTTGGAGCGTATTGCCAGTCCTCCTACTGATGGAACCGGAACTGGCATGCAGTTCCCATGAAGCCTTTAAACAGGTAAGCAGGGTAAAGACAAAACCTGCGCATCAGCTCATCGGTGACATGGCCGAGTGCTGGATTTGCCTCCGTTCGCACGTGGAGCAAGGCCAGCAAGGCCAACTGTGCCCGGTGCAGTCGCTTACTTGTGGCCGCCACGCTCATGCAGTGTGCTTGCAAGAACTCAAGGTCGGTTAGCACAAAACCTCGGTTTCATGATATCTCGTTGCTATCTGGTAGTTGATTGTCTAGTCCAAGTATGGGATCCTCATGTGTTCGTGCTGTTTTGCGCCCCTTGTGCATTGTTGCACCGTTTGCCTGCGAGGAAATGACCGGATGTGATGATTGTCCTTCTTACGCAGACACCAGTCCTGGCAACAATCGAAGTGCTGCAAGCTTTTGTCGTGCCGCAGCTGTGGAGTACCTCCGTGCGATTCGGTCGACCTCCGCAGGCACACCAGCCCGATTCGTGGTGACAGAGCGGTGCCTCAGCAATTTGCACCATGCACTTGCATTGGATGCCGGGCACGGAAGCACTTTGACTTTGCTTGGAGTGATGCACCAATCTGGACTGGGCGTGCCTTTAGATGAAATCAAAGCTTACCAATGCTTCCTGAAAGCACATGAAAGCTGTACGCCTCTTGGTACTCTCTACCTGGCGCGCTGCTACAAACGCGGCACTGGATGCAACATTGACCTCGTTAAGGCACGGAAACTTTTTGCTGAAGCCGATGTTCAAGGCAAGCAGATGGCCACTTTAGAGTTGGCTTTGATGTGCCGTGCCGGCCTCGGAGGGGAGGTGGATTTTGCAAAGGCCGTGGAGCTTCTGCAGAAAGCCGACGCAGCTGGAGATGCACTTGCAGCCTATGAGCTGGGCATGGCATATGCCCAAGAGACAATGAACCTGCAGAAGAATTTGGAGAAGGCGCGCGCCCACATGGAAGCTGCATGCCACCGTGGATACATTCCGGCAGTGGTGGAGCTTTCACAGATGTATATGATGGGCATTGGTGGCCCGCAAGATACCAACAGAGCAAGGGAGCTGACAATGGCTGTGGACTTTCCGAAACCACACCACCCCTCTGAAATAGTGGACGAAAAGGCACTGACACATGGATGGCTCAGCAGCAGGGTGCAAGAGCTGTATATCACGGATTTGGAAAAGCTCGATCCAAACGAGTGGTGGCAACTGCGTGTGCCGGATCCGGAGGAGGCCGGGACACTTGTTGGGGCTGGTTGGCTCAGCCGAAGTAGCTGGGTTTTTGCACCAACCAACAAAGGCGTACCCAGCATGACCCCATGACCCCTAGCCAGAGCCTCTCCTTGTGCTTGAGAACAGCAGCTCAAACAAAACGTTCGGAGGGCTTCAGCTATCTTGTGAGGAATCCAGGAATCAAAACTTCTCCAGTGCCAGTACTGTACCCAGCGACAAGGGACAAGTCAGAACAGAGATCGCGACTGCGCGTCAAGGGAGGTATATAAGCCTCGCCAGTTGAAATGCCACTGAAGGAGGATCCAAACGCAATGTTGAAAGCTATGGGTCTCTACACGGAGCCGGCCAAGATCACCACGAGCGGACCCTTTGCAGCGCGAGCCGCAATCGAACCACCACCAGGCCAGTTTTTGTGTGGTTCGTTGAAGCGATATTATATGTGTTACTTGGGACAGGCAGCGAGCTCGGTGGGTTGTGGCGTGCGACAATGGCATTTCACGGCAGGGCACCGAGTGCGATGAGCACCTGTGGCTAGCCTGCACGTCAGGGCCGCGCCTCCGCTTTGCGCCAGGCATCAAGTACGGGGACCCTGTCGTTGTATCAGCCGAGCAAGCAGCCAGCGCCACAGGCGTCTTGATGGTGCTCTTATGCTGCATTGCTGGTATGTCTCGACGATGTGGCAGGTCGGCGGGTTGTGGTGGAGATCCAGGCATTGCTTGGAAAAGACTTGGGTAGAGTGCGCCCCCGCAGTCCCTCTCAGGAGATTGGCGTTTCGATTATCGCGGAGTATGTCTTGCCACACGAATACGATGACTTTATGTGCATCGTGTCGGCATAAACTCCACGATGTCTCAGAGACGAAGGATGCGAAATCTGTTTATCACATCTTGAAGCCTTCGAGCATGTGTCTCGTCACTAGGCCGAGACCCTCAATTGGACGAGACATCCAGCATCAAAAGGCTCGTGCGAGCGCCCACAGCAGACCTTGACCTTCCGCATGTGTCAGCTGTCCTGCAGTTGACCGTGTGCGTCTGCGTTGGTCTCTCGCCCTGCAGTTGCACGCCTTTCGGTGGCATATCCAGCAGGCGGGAGCGCAATCGTGGCGAACACAGGCTTTACGTGACCGCGCCATTTCGCCCGCCAGGCTGCGTGAGTGGATGAGGGGGTCTTCCAGGGCTCGACGGCCACGTTTGAACATGTGAGCATACGTGAGCTGCATCTGTGAATGATCGTTGAGATTTTAGGATCCTTCTGAAGTTTGGGGTTCGGAGATGACCGACAGCTTCACGCAATTTATTTTGTTTTTCCGACTGGGCTTTGTGCCCCCGTGGCAGTCCAGTTGTGTACAGAGCTACTGCACGGCGGCAGCTCCACGAAGTGGTGTCTCTGCCAGTTAGGACGGAGCTTGGGCACCCGACGCAGATGTCAGCGATACTGCCAGTGCTCACCAGATAGAGTAAGCAAGCTGTCCCAAAGTGCTGAAGCGGATGTTCGCAGGTAAAGTCGGCATCCGAGCCGACGAGGCAGGCTTTGTACAACTTCTCTAGAACTTCTGCCCTTCGTTTTTGTAGCTGTGTGTGGTTGGTGCCAAGGATCGTCTTCAAAACCCGCGCAAGATCTATGAACCTGGGAGTGCGGGCTACGTTGCGAGTCCGCCGCAGTGACTGGGCAAAGCGTCGCCTGCTTTGTGACTGGGCTGCGGATGGACACACATGGCCGAGCTGGCAACGCATTGCCGAAACCTCGCTTCCGACACGCAAAAAATGTAGGCATTGCCATTTGCAAGGAAGATGCTGCGAGCTCAGTCCGCCAGAAGCGACTCTCCAGGGGGGTGAAGCCAACGCCACAAACTCAGGCCTGCCACTGTCCCTTGGCGAAGCTCCCCCAGGCACACCAACCACGTTGCGAAACTCGACCAGTCCTCTTGACCGATGCTGCCAGGGTTTTCTCCGCTTCTTTGTGGACCACGTCTTTTCATTCTTGGCGGATGGACGCCGGTGATCGAAGTGAACGCTCCATGGTTTCTTCCCACTGCCTGCACAGGTTTCACCACGAGAAGTGCCTCTTGCGCCAGACTGCTCGGCAAGGTTTCGCACGGACTGTCGATGCTCCGATGCAGCGCTGCTGCATCAGCTCCCTTTCGTCACATGCCAAAGGGCGATCTGTCCACACGCGCCAAACGGGAAAGGATTGTTTAAATTTGAGGCCGATTTGATGCACGCGATCTCTACCATGCAAGCGAAAAGCTGCTCTTGTTGGGTCCCATTTGCCTCGTGCGTCTGCATTGCCGAGCAGAGCTGCACCTGCTTGGCTTTGGTTACCCCCTGCAGAGGTCAAAGATTCAAGCCAGATAGCAGCAAAAGCTTCCAAGAGCAAGGCCGCGGGAGGGTGTTATTCGATGCTCCAAGTCACGACTTCACACTGTACCTCTAGAAGGATAAAGACAAAGATGCCAAGAAGGGTAAGGCTGAAAAGCCGAAGAGCAATGCCCCGGTAAATGGCAAAGATGGGGACGAAAAGAAGCGAGAAAAGGACAAGGCGAAGGAGGGCCTGAAGGAAAAGGAGAAGGAGAAGGACAGAATAAAGGAAAAGGAGAAGGAGAAGGAGAAGGACACAATAAAGGAAAAGCAGCGTGAGAAGGAAAGGTCAAAAGAGAAGGACCCCAGCAACGCACGCTGCCTCATCTTCAGTGCATGTAAATGTGCTACAAGTACGCAGCAGCTGCTGCCTACTTTGTCTGGCATGTTGTGAGGAGAGAACGAAGGAGAACGGGCATCCGAACGGGGCGCACGTGCTGTCATCTGTGGCAGAGTGCTTGTGTGTATGTACCGCAGCTGCTTCCATAGCCAGGACCAAACATCAGAAAGCCGACGAAAAGACAAGCCGCGAGCCAAGACAACGCGAGGGATTGCAAGCCATTGTCCGTCTCTGCGGCTCAGGAAGGAAAGGGATAAGAGTCGAAAGCGTGTGAACCCAAGACTCTGCTGCGTTCGCAGAATCTCGCAAGGAGAGCCACTGGCAGACCTGGTGATCTTGTAGCGTTTTACAGGTTCAAGCTGATAGCGTAACATACCAACCGCACCGCTTTGCCCACAGGCGTACGATCTACTTGGAGACCATGCGCCAGGTCGTCCTCATGCTGTGCATGGCAGCTGGGGCGGCCGGCGACACGGAGTCTTCCGATGCGGACGTGACGAATCTGCTTCAGCTGATCAGCCCACTGCCTGATGCATCGGGAGCTCACAGCCACCTCCACGGCTCTGACTTCACTTCACCAGACGACAAGTGGAGCACACCAGCTCTGACCGTGAAGGCCGTGAAACCAGCAACGAGAGCAAAGATTGTCGTTACGGAACGCCACCTTGCTAGCAGTCAAAGGACGGCAGTTCCCACAATCCGTTCCATGCCCGCCTCCTTGGCAGAGCCCGCTCAACTCGCCCACCTCGGTGCCACGAAGCCCAAAGTCAGGAATTCCAAGGCACTCGCCGTGAAGGCAACGAAGAAAGTCGCTCCAATGGCACATGCCAAAAAAGCGACTAAAGCGAAGAAGGCCAAGAAGAAGAGCGACAGCCAACCAGAGGCGGCCGAAGAGGTCAAGCAAGGCGTCCCACAAAGAAGGAAAGCAAAGAAAGCTCCGATCTCCAAGGAGGTTCTTGTGAAGACTTCCCCGGCAGTCCAGAAACACCAGGCGATCTCACAGTCACGGTCATCGCAGTCCCAGGAGAGTCTGCAGGCAGCGGCCAGCAGGAAAGCGTGCAGGGACTTTTTGCAGGAGTGCCGTATGGACTTGAAGGTTGATGCCTGCCTGCGATACAAGTCTTCCTGCCTGGCTGGCGCGGCTGGCGCGTCGAAACCAGAGCCAGAGCTTGTCGAGTCCCAAGCCGTGGGCCAGTCGGAGCCCGGCATCTCTCAGATGGCAGACCCGAGCCAAGCTCCAGCCGGAGAGCCGGCGGCTGAAGAGCCGGCGGCTGAAGAGCCGGCGGCTGAAGAGCCGGCGGCGGAGCCTGCAGAGCCCACGCCCGCGGAGCCGCAGAGAAAGCAGAGCGCGGATGCTTTGGATAATGGCATCAGCCAGTCTGGCGTGGGTGGCTTTGGAACCGACGCAGAGCCAGAACCTGTTGAGGTGCCGGCTTCTGAAGATGTGACCGGTCCAATTGCAGAGGAGGCGGAGGCGGAGGAGGCAGAGGCAGAGGCAGCAGAGTCTTCAGAGCAAGATGCCACAGAGCCAGAGCAAAGTGTCTCTCCCACGGCAGAGGCGCTGGAGTTATGAAAACGATTTGGGCAAAACCCTTGGCATTCCGGAGCCAATAAGCGTTTATTTAGCGTTCCCGAAATCCGTTCCTAAAACTTTGTGTTCCTGAAATGCGTTCCCGAAATCCGTTCCTAAGAATATGTGTTCCTGAGATGCGTTCCCGAAATCCGTTCCAAAAAATATGTGTTCCTGAGATGCGTTCCCGAAATCCGTTCCTAAGAATATGTGTTCCTGAAATGTGTTCCCGAAATCCGTTCCTAAAATATATTGTGTTCCTGAAATGCAATACCGAAATAAGACCCTAAGATATCCTAAGATAATGTGTTCCTGAAAAGCATTACCGAAATACGCTCCTGAAAATATACGGTTCTAAAATGTAATCCGGAACGGCAGGGCAGGGGAGGAGGGGAGGAGGAAGGGAGGGAGGGGGAGGCTGTCCCAAAAACGCTTTTTGAAAAACACCGCAAATCCAGGAACGCTTTTGGCCGGAGGGCCCGGAACGGAAAAAATGGAAAACACACTGTAAAATCCATCTGTTTTTCCGTTCCCGGCGGTTCGGATTACTGGGCTGCCAGTCCAGGTGCCACTCAAACCACCGTTCCGTGTGCCACCAATCCAGGCTTCGAAACGCACTTGACAGAAATCAGGAATGCTTTTTAGAAACGTGTTTTTTTTTTTTTTCCGAAACGCTTGTTGCGAACGCTTTTTAGAAACGTTTTTTGTGTTTTTTTCCGGAACGCTTTTTGCGAACGCTTTTTAGAAACTTTTTTTCGGAACGCTTTTTAGAAACGCGTTTTTTTCGGAGCACTTTTTGCGAACGCTTTTTAGAAACGCCTTTTTTTCGGAACGCTTTTTTGGAAAAAAACGCATCTCTGCATGTCTGGAGTTTGCCAGCAGCTGTTTTTATAACGCAGGAGGCTGAGGCAGAAAAGGCATTAGTGACCGAGCCAATTCAAAGTGCCTCTCCCAACGAGGTGCCAGAGGCTGAGGAAGCAGAGGCAACAGAGCCAGATGCGGCGGAGCCAGCACAGAGCGCTGCAGCAGAGGCGGCTGAGGCAGCGGCACCAGAGCAAGATGCGACGGAGCCAGTACAAAGCGTCTCTCCCGAAGCGGATGAGGCTGAAGCAGAGGTAGCAGAGCAAGGTGCGATGGAGGCAGAGGCAGCAGAGGCACCAGAGCAAGATGCGACAGAGCCAATGCAAAGTGTCTCACCCGTGGCAGAAGCGCCGGAGGCTGAGGCAGAGGTACCAGATGCGACGGAGCAAGATGCGACAGAGGCTGGGGCAGCAGAGGTACCAGAGCAAGATGCGACGGAGCCTGTACAAAGTGTCTCGCCTGCAGCAGAAGCGCCGGAGGCTGAGGCAGAGGTACCAGATGCGACGGAGGCTGGGGCAGCACCGGCACCAGAGCGAAATGCCACGGAGCCAGCAGAGGCGCCGGAGGCTGAGGCAGAGGCACCAGAGGCACCAGAGGCACCAGAGCAAGATGCGATGGAGCCGAAATCAGAGGCAGACGGTGTGGAGACGGAACCCGTCGATGGCGAACCCGCCACCTCCAGTGCCGACCGTGTACTCGAGCCAGAGGTCCCTGTGAAAGCTGAAGCCTTGAAATCTGGAGTTTCTGAGCCTGAAGAAGCTGCACCGATCGGCTTGAAGAGCCAGGCCATGTCTTCGGTCTCGGACCCGCCAAAAGCCAACGCAGCCTGGGTGTTCGGGCAGGCAGCCAGCACCTTGACCAACAACCAAGAGGTAGGGCTTCAGAGTACGACTTTCGGATTGACACGGGTGGATGCCTTGGGAACTTCAGCTGGATCCCTCACCTTGGCTCAGAGGGAGCTTGAGAATCAACGCTTAACCAGTGTCAAGGAGAACCTCTGTGCATTGTGGCACACCATGTGTGGGCGTGTTGCCACGGCAGAGATGTGCGTGAAGTACGCAGGTGTGTGCCAGTGAGCACATGACACGGTCTGTGGACGAGGCGCAGCCCCGCACAATGCCTCAAATCAATTTTGCTGCCAGTTCAGACTGGTAGGGTTTTCGCCCTGGCGCATTGGATGCAAATGTACTTTGCGCAAACCTTTAACGATTACATCTCGCACCGAAGGTGCAGGATAACTTAGCCCAGCTCAAAGGCGCCGGGGGTGGCAGCACCGCACGGCGTCGGCACGAGGGCCTAAAAGTCGTGCGAACATGAAGCAAGTGCGGCAGCATGCCGAAAGAAGCGCATGTCATGTATTGCGGAGTGTCTGTTTCGCAAGTTTCCGGCTACGAATTTTTCTGGCAGGCCGAGATCCCTCGTCCGACTCGGACTACAGTAGGCCATGCAAATACGCAGCACTTTTCTGTAACTTTATAGCATTGCGTTTAAAGATCTGTGGCAGGTCGAGATCTCGTTCAAAGAGTCGCAGACAAAAGAAAGAGCACCTTGCCGGCAATAGGCGCGCAGGTCGTCACGCGCCATGTCTATTTTTCTGAGCTTGGTGGCGATTTTGCGAGGAAGGACCGACACCGTTCCTTGGACGCAAAGAGATCAACCAGTAGATGCGACTCATGCAGACATCCGTGTAGAAGTGGTACCTGTAAGAACACCCTGTAAGCTTAACGTTGTTCCCTGTTGTTCTCGTAGTAGGTGCATGTAGGTGCCAGCGGTGCGACTGGCAAGTGGCAGAGAGGGCAGCATGGGAGCGGCTCAATTCGTTTGTGAGTTCAACTCCGTTTCAGCTTGTCCAGACTGTCTCTAGATACGAATAGCACTGCGAGCAAGACTCGTGATTCATCCGAGAAGGCGTGAGTGGCGAGCAGGCATCGCAGTGTCCTTGGTAAAGCTGCAGTCTGGTTGCTCTTCGCATGTCTTGTTGTACCTCACAGACTGCTGTCGGTTTGTCACGTCTGGACTAAGGCGGAGTAGAGATGCTGCTGAGGCGGCATGCTGCCACGCAAGATCAATCTCTGAAAGTAGCGATGTCTGGCAGAAGCTGTGGAAGCAAGAAACCCATTCTCTCGAAACTGCAGGCGAGAGTCAAAACACTGGCCTTGCGGCACGTGCCTGAGACACACAGCATAGAAACAGCACTGGGAGCAGGGCAGTATGCTATGCAACAATCGCGCAGATGGTGCGAGTCGTTTCTTCCCACACAGGCCTCCGGTGGTAAAACCTGCCGTGGCTCCTGCAAAATCGCCAGCAGCAAGGGCCTCGGACTAGAGTGGCTCGCATTCACCAGCCTTGGGGCGTGTGGCCAGGACTTGGCCAGAGAAAAAGCAGAGTTCGAGGAATTTTGCAAGGCAAGGAGGATGTCCTTAGGAGGAGCTCTTGCGTCCGGACCCACAAAACACCGCATCCGCTTGCTAATCGTTTGGTTCAAGCAGCATCAGGTCAGAAGGGTGACGACACCGGAACACTATGAGCTCAATTAGAGAGTTTCTAGACACCCACGTTGTGCCACGGTATATCCACATTTCGCTGTGACCAGCTTTAGACCCACGCCTGTGCTCCAATGCGGCCGATTCCAGAACAGTCCCTTTCCGACTGTCACCAGCTCGTGTTGGAGATATTTCAGGGCGTGCTCCCAGAGGGGGATACTGTGGTGGGTTGCCCGATTGCACTGCAGATAGTCTCGTCCTCGGATTGTCCATTGAGGCAATGATAGTGTTTTCAAGCCACCCCTCCCAAAACAGATGCAGAGGTGTGCCGTGCATTGACTTTCCCTAGGCAATTTTGCAGGGCCCTGTCTTAAGGATCGTGCCACTTGCCAATCATGAGCAGTCGTAGTTCGGAGGGAATCGAAGATCGCAGCATCCAGTCGCCGACTTGAGACATGCACAGTCCAAACCCTGCACCCATGGAGACCGAGGGCGGCAGCCGAAAGTCCAGGGCACAAGCTCCGAAAAAGCGGTACCACGGGTACACCGTGGGCCATTTCCTTGATAATTGATGGAACGAAGACACTGTCCTTGCAAGCAGAAATCTTGGAAGATGGCTGGAATCTAGAACCGACCTCATGGAACGTCACTCGGCACTCCAGGTGCCTTTCGCATTCAACACCTTTTGCAAGGCAAATTGACAAAACAATAGATCATATTAGATAGCTCGCAGAAAGCTTCCCAGAAGGGCCTAGAATGCTGCCTGGTGCACAGCGAGCACGATTGGCTGCGCTTTTGCTGGCATTGTCCGTTCACAAGCCACCATGGAGCATCGGACCACATTCCTTGCACATTTCACCCGAAAGGCATCTGTCTGCGGAGCTTGAGCCCACAAGCAATGATGACCCAACGAGCGCTCTGGCTTAGGCCTCTGCAAAGCAGATGAAGCACTTGTTCTCCGCAGCACATGGCAGCAAGCGATGTGCAGAGTGTGACTGTGGCCCATGCAACCGGCACCGTGGGCACCATGCTCAGACAGTTGGGGCTGCTTAAACGTCATGACCTGCAGAAGATCACTTCAAGAAGCACCCAGAGGCCTCGGCAAAAGACTAAATCTCGAACCACACGGAGATGGCTCGGAAGATGTGCAGGACCAAGTTTAAATAAATGAAACCAAAATGTTCTCGGAGGAGCCGAGAGGGCGGCGGCAACACATCGCGCTTTGACACGCTTACACCGAACAAACCACGACGGGCTTCTGTCTTGCATGGTTTTGGTGGGGTTCATGTTGGGGCAGCTACAAGGTAAGAGCTTCATTCGCCAAGTCTTGGCGGAAGTAGGCGTCCCAGAGGACTGACGGAATTTGGAGTTTTGTTCTTTCGCTGCCTCGTCACCTCATCCCTGAGCGTGGGCTGCTTGGTTCTGGCAGGATGAGGCAGACACGATGCTTGCACTGGTAAACACTGGATATGACAAAGTTTGCTATCGAGAGTTCTTCCAGTTCATGTTTCAGGAGCAGGCCCGACCGAGTGGATGCGGTAGGGGCCAGAACCTCCACACTATTCGTGTTCACATGAAAGCACTCCGGCAACGTAGAACTGTGGGCCCGAATGTGCTGCAAAGCTTGTCCCAACGGCAGAACAGCGTCTCACGGGCCTCTCTTGACAGTTCTGAAGTGCGGCTGCGGATTGCACCTGCGCACCATCAAGTACTGTAGCTTCGAGGACGCCATTGTTCCTCCGCCCAGAAAGCGATTGTATCTTGGCCAGACGAGTGCCGTAGATTGCTAAAGCCAGCGTAAGTCTGGTGTATATTTAATCACGTTTCCATGCGATGGTGCATGGTAACCCAGGTCCAAGCAGGTGTCTTGACCTGCAGCTTCTGGCGAGCGTTGTTGCCGGCGTTTGTTTGAAGCTGGCCCTAGTTCTGTGAAAGTGACGAAGCCCCAAAGGTCGAAGAGCCCTTCCTCTGCAGCTACTTCCGGCGTGTCTTTGAGACCCTTGGTGGTGCGAATGATGGTGGGCTTACCAAGGCTCAACTGAAGGAGGCATGGGGCCTGGGGGTCGGCTGCGGGGTCCAAAAAAGCGGCGAGCTCCTGCCTGGAGGCCTTGGAAGCCTTCGAGATGAGCCTTCCCGGCTCAGCGAACACTCAGATCGAGGACGTGGTCGCTGCTCGTCACATTTAAGACCGCGAGGCCGTGAGAGCTTCTCTGGCCATGAGGCTCACATCTTTGAGGAAATCGACCAAAATGGTGACAGCGAAATTTGCTGGAACGATTTCCAAAAGTGGCTGCTTAGCTGGAACGTCCCGCACGACGACAGCGAAGATGCGGCACGATCGCTGTTCACTTTTCTTGACAGAGATGGAAGCGGTCATATTAGTGCCCAAGAGATGATGGACGCATTGATGCTTATGAGCGAGTTTGAATCCAAAACGGACAGATCACTGAGTGTGACTCGGCCTTCCGGCTTGAGGGGAGGTGTGCTAGAAGCTACTTACTGCCGCTGCCCAAATCCGAGGTGACACATTCCGAAGCTGGCCAGATCATCCGCGACCTGGATCCTGACGGAGAGGGCGGAATTGATTATCACACCTTCCTGGAAGTGCTGCATGCTGCACGAAATCACTCACCAGGGTCTATGAATCAAGAGCCGCATTTGGTTTTGAATTTCGATGTCAACAACACGGTAGTGATGCTGGATTCAGCGACTGGCGCAGATTCCGAAGGGCTGATATCCATGGTCCTCTCGAACTCCGCATGGGGCACAATTGACTACGACGACAATGGGTGGCCAAGTCGCTGGACACTGAAAGCACCGGAGCTGTCTCCGACACAACCTCAGGCTAACCTTCACACCTACTCCGAGTTTGTCGTTTTGCAGAATCCGTTTCCAGACCCGGCTGGCTTCGGGAGCAAGGCTGATCTTCGAGCTGCGAACGAGAAGGTCAAAGCTAGTCGCAGGCAAGCCCTGTGGTCCTTCGCACATTCCGGCATGCCCGGAGAGGCTCTGGTCTTTGAATGAAGGACATGTGTGGCCATTTCCGTGTCCTATGGAACAGCAAAACGAGCCTCACGTTGTGGTGATTCGGCATTTGGGGACAGTTGGGGTACGGTCCGGTATAAGACTTTTACCTCGCTCGCCACTGCCTCACCCGCGCACTCGCTGCGCTCGCTCACCCCACCCACACACTGACTGACACGCTCTGCCCATGCAGTCGCATGCTCATCATTCCCTCGCCAAATCCATGCACAGAATGTATGCAATCATTCATTCACCACTTGTACTTCATCACTTTGTCCACTTCCCTACACACACTCGCTTATTTGCTACCTCTTTGCATCCTTTCTACGCCCTGATGAACCGAGGTCACTCGCGGACTTGCCCATGACGCTAGGATGCTCCCATCCCCTGGCTCTGCTTACTCATTTCCGAGCATTTCCGCAGGCTTGCTTCAAATTATCGTTCTCGTTCTGATACACTCACCAACGGTGCGTGACCGACTGCAACCATATTCCTCGTCGTGTTCACCCCGGTGTCCACACTCGCTCACCCATTCCTTTTCTTAAGAGCTGAAGCCAGAGGTTGCGTCCTCCTGCAGCTCCTCTTGGATTCACACGCTCACCTATCACATCCTCGCTTCGCCGATCTGCCTTCTTCACAACGAGTGCACCCCCCCCTCACTCGCTCGTTCCTGCATCCATGTGCGGAACTGCAAACCCCAATCAGGCTCACCTGCTTTGATACAGCGCGATGTTGTTCACTTTACAGCCATTAAAACCCGAAAGCCCAACAAGATGGGAAGCCCGCAGCCCAAAGAGTGACCAGTCTCATCATCCAGGCCTTCCGGAAAGACTTGGCCAGCATGCAGGAGAAGCTCCTTCTACCTGAAGCTGTTCGGGGCACACAGGCGGCGAAAGATGCAGGTTTGGGTGGGGACTCGGTGCAGCTTCTTCCTTCATTCCTGCATTTGCTTCGAGTGGCGGCTGCACTATTCAATCTATTTGTGTAGTTTGGGCTCAACGGTGTAAGAGCAGAGCTAGTGGGTGCCTTTCGTTGTGTTGCACTGCGCATGTTGAGGAGAGCTCAAGCGAAGGGGCAGAAGCTTTACCTTGATATTTCGCACCTTTGGCAAAGACCTGCCTCAACTGCGCCAGGACAGGTGGTCATCGATAAGCTCGTTGTTTCAAGTCGCAATGACCAAATTTAAGGACTTGTTTCCAACATCTCGGCTTTGGTAATACCTTGTGGGTAGCAAACGCACTGGTGTTTGAGGAGCTGGAAGCACTCTGTCAGGGATGGCATCCCTTGTTTCAGAAGGAAGACTTAGTCATCCTGGATGGATCGGCAGCCAGTCAGCACGCCACGACTTCTGTATGTTTTCTGCCTCCTTAAATTAAGTCGAAATGACAATGAGTCTTGTATTCACCAGGATGGACAGCCGGACTACCGCATGAAGTTCGACAAGCTTGATGGCTGCGGAACATTCTTCCGAAATCCCCTGGAAGGTGATTTCATCGTGACCTGGCTCCGGAAGATTCGGGTTCTCGGCCAGCGGGCAGGTTTGCGTCAAAACCCTGAACCTATGCATTCCAGACTCCCTGCAGCAGGGTGTTATTGTTGGGTTGACCTCTGCAGGGCCATTGTCGACCTGAATCGGTGCCATAGAACAAAATCCGTGCCTGCTTGATGAGGCGTTGGCGATGGGAACGATGGAACAGCCGAGCAAACTTGAGGAGGGCCCTCAGTTCTGGAAGGACAAAGAGCACATACAGATCTACGAAGGCCAACAGAAGCCTCATTTCGTCGCACACACTGGCTCGTTTCATTGTTGTTTTGTGTTGTCATGTTGCCGCGCCGCAAGGGGTGCACCAAGTCTTCAAGCACTACATGCAGATCTCATCACAGTGTCACACAGTGGCCCTCCGTGACTACTACCCCGGTCACTTGGTGTTGGGCATCAGGTATGACTCATATGCATCGTGGTCTGTACTTTTGTTGCAACGGCCGTGTTGCTGAGCTTGGTCCCATGTTGCATCATGGCGAGGATGGGCAGCGGCGAACTCAACGTCAGCAGGCGGGAAGCCTTTCTTCTTGGGTAGACTCGACCCGGCGGAGCACTGCATGTTTTTCGATGACCACATTTCCCCGCTCGATCCAAATATTGTGGCCACTCCGCCGAATGGGATCAGAAGGTCCTCCAAGATAACATTCGGGCTGGCTAGCTGGCACTGGTCGCTCGACTTGTTTCAGACGTCGTCAGAAATCGCTGGCTCACAACAAGGACCCGATCGATGCACATCTGTGGCCACGACGGTACAGCAGCGGTCAGGTCTATGGTGTGCACCTGGTGCAAGCTCAGCCCCTGCTTTCCATCCGTGACAGGAGCTCTTCAAGCGCATGTAGCGTTGTCAAGGTTGCTTCTTGTTGCTTTGCTCGTCACCAGCTTTTGCCTCCACTGCGCGCCCCGGCCTTCCACAGGAACTACTTCGTCAAATGTGTTGAAGACTGTGAAACGGCTAGGGCTGCGAAGCTGCAGCGATGGCACAAGCTGAAGCGCTTGGTGGGAGATTTGGATGGAGTTCGGAAGGCACCCATCGCTACCATAGCCCAGTGTGAGCTCACCCTGAATCTGAACGGTCTGCATCCGTCTTTGCACATGCGAATTAGTAATTAGTAAACCTGTCAGGTGCTTGCCGGCTTCATCTACACATCAGTTCCGAGTCAAAGAGTGGTCTTCAGACCTTGGAGCTCCAGCCGCGATGTACATCGTGCTCAAAGGGTACCTACTTTCGAGGAGCCGACGTAGCTGTAGCGGTTACAGAGGGTTTGTCAGAGCTGTCCATTTTGCAAGCTGTTGTACCGCCAAAAAGCCGACAGGACGAGTGATGAGTTTGCCGCTGCTGACCGCCATCGCAGCAAAGTCCACGGACTGATTGGTGGACTAGTGATCACGCAAGTGTTGAACCCGCTAGGAAATACGCAGAGCGCACGAAGCACGAAGAGCTACACAACGCAACACGCGGACATGAAAGAAGCGACAAACATGCAGAGACTCACACACATCTCACAGCAGAATGTTCCTTAAGTGCAGGTTCATTGTATCTTGATGTGCATGGAACTCATTACCTATTGCATAGGCTTTGCTCCCAGGCTTAAACCCCAAAAGGGAGACGGGAGCTCGGACCCTTACAATGCGTGTGGGTCTGCAGGGTCTGATGAGAGACATAGAGCTTGTATGAACTGTATCATGACGGGTGATTGTTTCCTCGTCCCATCAGATCGGTTTGTCTGTCTCGCTCTATGTTGGGCCCAGGCTTGCGGTTTGCGTCAAATTTCGCGAGCCGCAAGCCAGCCCTGTTTTCCGATCCCATCTGGCGTCAGGCGACATTCCTGCATAGAAGCAACTTCTAAGAAGCTGCTGAAGAAGACAGGGCGTGATTGGAGATTCCATCTAACTGCATTTGTCGAGCACCTATTTGCCGGGCTGGTGCGAGTAGGCCCAAGCGATGATGCAAGAGCGAGCAGTTGTTCCAACCGTGAGGGCCTCAGCAAGATACAGCAGAAGTACGAGCATAGGAATACATGAACTGTGATAGGCTGTATCGTAGCTCGGAGGCTGACCCGACAAAGCCATCTCCTGTGCTTGCGCTCGGCTCTTAGAAGAAGCATATTTGGCATGGTGCGTACAGGAAACAGGAAAGCTAAAGAGGTGCAGAGAGGACTTGAGGGGGGCCTTCAGCTTTCTTTCAGTATTGTGTTTCTGAGGGGGCTTTATTCGCACAGGTGGCACTCCAATTACCTCGATCTTTACCGAATTCCTATTAATTCCTAGAAGATGGCCCTTGATGGCAGCTGTGTCAGCTGTGTCTTCGGTAGGCTGGGGAACTTCGGCGGCCGGGCCGCCGGCCAAGGGGCTCCGGGTCAGAACGACCAGCCGGCGCCTCGGAGGAGGGCGAACCCGGCGAACGTCTCCTCGCGTCGCGACTGCTCCGAGGATCTCCCTGTTCTGCAGGGCCAGCGGCCGCTCCTCTTAGACACATCTTGTGTATTCTTTTTTCTCCAATTTCAATCTGTGCACGTATTGCTTCGCACCAGCGAGGAGTGGACCAACGAGCCGAGATCAGCCTGCGTGGACTGCCAGCTGTTTGCCTCAGCTGCTGGCCCTCGGTACTGACAGAGCCGCGAGAGATCGCATCTCATCAAGGTCCACTTGGCTGCCGAGATTATGGCTGGCGGGTACGCCGAAGCTTTTGTTGAACTGCATGCAGCGTCCCAGGAGAGGTGTTGCCACAGTTCACGAGCTGTGCTTGCAGGCCCCTCCTTGGTGTCAACAGTTCATCGGTCTTGATGGCTCGAATCCATCAGGCGGCCGGCCGTCTATGTTTGTTGAAAGTGCCAGTGTTTTGGCCTAGTCATTCCCGGGCAAGAAAGATTCTCGGAGCATGTTGGAGGAGCGGAGCCTGTGTAAAGTGTGCCTTCTCGCGCCCATGCTGTACAGGCAGAGGCGTTGAGTTTGGACCCCAGAAAGTGTTGTGATTTCGCTACCTGCGCAGAGCAAGAGCTTTGCCAGCTTAGGCCGTACGAAGAATTTGTCTCTTGGCAACACTGCCGCCGTGCAGGCTGCACAAGCTTCCGGGTAAGCCCCCGCTGTTGCGGTTTGCTTGCTGTGGTTGGTTCAATGTCTTGTCGCTTTCGAACGTGAGATACTTACATCCAAGTGTAGCCTGGCGGCTCAGTCAGCTAAACCAAACGCCTACCCGGTGCACAGCCGTGTGCCTCGGACTGCATATGAAGAGGTATGCACCTTTGCATGAGTTGGCCGGAAAACTTCAACTCTTAGAGTTGTTCGTCCCTGCCTGTGCGCATGCACGTGTATGTGCGCACATATGTGGGATTGTCTGCATCCGCTCACGAGCAAAACTTCGCAACGAACTGCAGAGCAGATTGCAGTTGGGGGGAACATCATGCGATTCAACTCGACAGTGAGAGCTCTGGCATGCGTAAAATATGCTCCGAGGGTACGAATGAAACCATGGGTTCCGTGCTAGACGACCGCGCGGCTGACATCTGCATGGGATCAGAAAGTGCTGGTATGTCGTACAGTGCTACAGGTGAGACAGGACATTCATTGCATCGAAACTAAAGTCAGCAGCACTGCCAAGTCTACCGGCAGTGGACGCCGATTTGCTGCCTTGCGAATGCCATGTAGACGTGGTGGCCAACTCCAGAAGAGCAACATGAGTGTTCTTTCCTCCCCGGCCCTGCTGGCCCCGTAGCCAAGGCCTCCGGTTTTCTCGTATCTCTGCGAAGGCAAGGCACTCATGTCAAGGCCCGGCATTGCGAGTTCAGGCAAGTGGAGATGCATGGGTTCTTTCGTTGTGTTGCGATGGGCCGTTCCCCTCTGACCCGACATCATCTACCGAGGCTGATGAAATTATCGTTCCGGATTGTTGCTGTGGCAACCGCGGTGTATGCCCTGCGGGACGACGTTGACGAGCAACTGCTCGATCCCGTGGCAAGGACCTCAGGCTAACAGCAAACAGCGACCTCTAAGTCTAGGCATTGCAACCTGGAGAGGCAAGCCCCAAATCAAGACTCACGTGCATAGTGAGTTCTGCATGTTGCTGTATGGGTCCGCATTGGGCATGCTGGGATCAAGCCCTGCAGCATAGACATCCCCCGACTGTGAAGCAGAGCATGTCTCACAGATGCAGTGCTTCGTGGGCTGCTTCCGGGCGTGGTTTCTCCCGGAGCCAGACTCCAAGCTGCCGGACCTCCGAATCTTGTCTGTGAATGACGTCTACAAGCCCGAGCGACTGGCCTTGGTTCGGACAGTTGCCCGAGCGGCTGTAGACCCTGGTGTACTCGTCAAGCAAGTGCTGCCTGGAGACTTGCTTGGCGGCTCTTTATATGCTAGTGAGCATCTGGGAGAATCGACCGTTGACGTATTGAACTCCTTGGGGGTTGATTACTGCCTTCTGGGAAATCACGAGTTTGACTACGGTGAAAAACGCCTCCGAGAGTTGATGGACAAGTCTCGGTTCCCATGGCTCGGCTCGAACGTACGCGACCGCGACTCGCAGTCCATCTTTCATACTGCTCTGGATTCGGACACTTTCTGGGTGCAGTCCAGCCATGGCCCTGTTCTTTGTGGCTTGTTTGGCTTATGCACTCCAGCTACCCCTCAGCTTTCAGACCCGGGACACAATATCAGCTTCGAAGACCCTATCTCACATGCAAGGAGGCGATGTGAGTGGTTCTTGCTAGCGAGGGCTTACACACGAACCAGCTACAACCAAAGGCTTTGAACATTCAGCTGCTAGTTAAACTGGATGTTCATTGTGGCCGATGCCACTGTCTATGATTTCTGCCGAGATGTTGTTATCGGACCACCTTGAACCGTGCTAGTCTACAGAACAAATGACGGCACCAAAGCCACATAGAGCGCAATTGCCGTCGAGAACGCCTCACGAGGCCAGGGCCCTGCAGATCCAACAGCCACCGCGAATTGTAGCTGCATCCGCTTCGTCAAACAGGCGGTATGACGGCTTCAGACCGTGCCTCAAAGAAAGCAGCTACTTCGTGTGATCTCAGAAGTTGCACAATGGTTCTTGAAGTTTTGGTGCAATCCTTGGTACATCATATACATCGACTCGCGGTTTTTTGCTCGACAAACTGCACATGGGAACTTCCATGCAACGCTGCGGCTTTGGGAGGGTTCCTTGCCCTGACAGGTGCGTAAAGGCTCTTCGGGCCTCGGGCTGCGAATTGATCGTGGCCCTGACGCACTTAAGCCTTCATCAGGACAAGCAGCTGGCCGAATCCTGCGATGGTATCCATGTTATTTTGGGAGGCAGCTGCGCGTTAATCCTAAAGCAGGGCACAGGGTGCAAAGTGGTGCGATCTGACCTCTTTGAGCCGTGCGTGCCGGAGGCCACGACCATGACCCATACTACTTGATCCACCACGGCGTGTTGATTGCCAAATGTGGACAGAATGCTGCTCCCTGGCTGTGAACACACTGCTGTGCATGTCGTGGATCATCGTTGGGTTTCTGGCATGTGTCAGGAGTATGTTGGCATTCTGGACTTGTACCTGACGCGAGCTCTTGCCGGCGTGGAAGTGAAGCATTCCTTCCACTTTCGCAGTACTGCAGCCGTCAAAGAGGATCCCGCCGTGGTGGAGGCTGTTTGCAGGTGGAAGAAATCGACGACCAGCACCGAGGACCAACAAATAGTCAGATAGGTGTGAGGGAAGGCAATGCAGGCCATGGGCTGTTTCGTTGTCGTGTGGCCATGCGGAGGAGGAGCTTTGCGTAGTGGGATCGCCGCTGTCCAGTCGGACATATGAACTCCGTTCCACTGAAAATGCATTTGGCTGTTTGGTTGCGGATGCTGCGTTCTGGGCCTGCCGCCCGCACGGCTGCCACGGGGCCATCATCAACGGGGGCTTCATCCGGCAGGAGCGCCGCGGAGCGCCGAGAGTTTCCAGATGTTTCAAGTAAGCGGCTGGCCCAGCTCCAGTCGCCAGGACAGGCTGTACCCAGCGCATTCCGTCTTGACAGCTCAGCAGGCAGGGCAGCGATTGCACGTCGATTGCCACATCCGTGTTCTGTGCCTGTCATTTTGTGGTCTTTGATCGCTTTCAGGTGAGCGAGGAACTCCCGTTTGCCGAGTGCCCGGCGGTGGTGCGTATGACAGGCCAGAGCCTGCGCTATGCTTTGGAGGAAATGTTGGCCTCGGCTCCAACTCCAGTGGGTTGCTTTCCGCACGTGTCAACAGGCACTTTGGCACTGGGGTCTCTTAGGTCACGTTGTGGGTGCCATGTCAATGTCCCCCATGGTCTAAGCCTAAGCAGTTGCAATTTCTGGTTTGTTTATTCCGTTAGCACACGGTGAGATCAGCACAGAGGCATCGATATTGGCCAAGGTATGGCTGTCAGCTACGATCCTAGCGCTCCGCCCTTTGCGCGAGTACAAGGCAAGCATTTTCCGACGTTTCCAGTGGTTCTTCCTTCCATCCGAGAGATCTTGTCAACATGCTACATGAGTCTTGTTGGGCCCCCTTCATCGGAGCAGTTGGCGATGCACTGAACCTGACAGGCTTAGAAGTGGACGGTCGGACAGTTGACCCAGATGAGCAGTATTTGGTGGCGATAAACCGGCTCTTCAGTGAAGTTGCGGCGGATGGTGTGCGAACTTTTTGCAAATGCGAACGCACCTATACTCACCACCAGCTCTTCCGAGACTTGGTGATGGACTACCTGCGAGAACGCAGGCATGTAAGTGGTGAGCTTCCGGGGCGCCTTGTCCCGGTCACAGCTGTTGCCAATGTGGAGGCTACGCGACAGCTGGCTTCTGACCGGACCTGCTGGCAAAGCGATCGTAGAGAGGACCCGAATGGCGAGCAATCAAAAGCAGGGCACGGGCACGATGTGCAGCTTTGACTGTGGCAAACAATTTAACCTACTTGCATAAGATTTTCCAGATGATGCTTGTCTGTTCATAAGTTTCGGCCGTAGTACATGTTACGGGGTAGTCTGGCTGAGGAAAATGATCCGTTGCCGGCGTCCTTCGTAGAACTCTCTGGCAGAGCAGCAGGGGCCACAGAGACCTGTGCGATCTTTTCCGCACAGCAGTAATGATGCTAAGCTGCTAGATGCTACCAGATCGCTGCCTCAGCTGGGCAGATTGAGGCGAGCAAATCATCGAGTCATGCGCCCAATGCCTGCGAGACGTGCTGCTTGTCGCACTGGTACCAGCGCTTGCCAGGCACTCGCAGTGGAAAGGGCAGGTATCCTGGCAGACCGCCTTCGGGAGTTTTTTCTTAGCTTGGATCGCGGAGCCCTGCTCCGCTTCACGAGTGAGATGTCTGCCTAAGGCACCATGCGGCGCCGCAGGCACTTGGAAATCCCATGAGGGGGGGGGTATATGAGAGTGATCAAGACACTGCAGCCTACCTGTTGAACCTTCAGGTACGCCACTCTGCCCACAGAAGACATGCTCGAAAAGATTACCAAGATGATGAACCGGATGACGACGCTTCGGAAGATCGAAGAGCTTCACTCTCCGAGGACAAAGACGGCACTACCACAATTGATGCTGCCAGTCCCACGCTCTGACCTTCGTTTCATCTTTGACTGTTGCAGTCGATGCCTACGTGGAAGGACTCCGGTGACGGCCAGGCTGATGAAGCAGAGCCTGATGTCAGCAGACGGGAAGACAGCCGATACGACGACGACCAGCAGGAAGCACGACTCCCAGAAGCTGCTGTCCGCGATTTGGTCTCCTTGTGTACATGTCAACGATGCTGAAAGTACTGTGTTGTGCACAGGTCGACACGCAAGACCGGCACAGCCACCACAACAGACATGTGACTCCGGTTGAATTGCATGGTCCTTGTCCGCTGCTTGTATATTAACGGGTTCCCAGGGCATCTGCTACTAAGGTTTGTCCGTTCCGACAGATCCGACAGCTTTTGGTATGCCCACACATCTTGTCTGCAGGTGCGACCTAAAGAAGAAGTTCAATTGGATGCACCGGCAGATTCCCACAAGCCGCTTGTTGGTGCCAGTCAACGGTACTGTATCCGCGCTACATAGGGAGAAGGTCAGGCATGCCGTTTATGCTTGTGCTCAGTGAGGCCTGTGGTTCACAATGCGTCACACCCGCGCCTGGGCAAAGTGGCACACATTCTCATTGCTAGTCACTGCTAGTCTTGGACTCTTGCCGCATCCGTGGTACAGAGTATATTTTGAGGTCTAGGCCCTCATCACCGGTGGAATCGAACCAGACAGTGCATGACAGCTCCGCTCGAGCCGTCGGAGGCCGCCTGTCTGCATTTCAGACTGATGGGCGCAATGAATGCCACAGTATGCCACACTGAAGGACAACCGCCCCCGACCGGCTTGCATCAAGAATCCATACGGACTGGATGGCTTGTAACTTCGTCGTGCTGGGCCATCCTCACATTGGTGGCAGCGGCCATAGCAACTCGGTGACTCACAGTGCTTGCTTGTTTTCCAGGCGCCAGGGTGAATGAATAATGTAGGCCAGCTCCCCAAAAAAGAAACCCGCCAACCAACACTGTGCATGATTTGTTAGCTGTTAGCAACGTCAGCATGGTGGGAGTTGAAAGCCGCATTGCGCCACCTGACGTGTAAAGCAACCTGCACGCTGCCCACGCTTGATGCCTGATCCCATTGTGTCAGAATCTTCGTATCGAGGCTCTATGGCTCAAGCGACCCGAGCAGCTGCCTCAGCTTGCGGGGGAGAGCCACAATTTGTGAGGATGCAGATCGGACTTAGGTTGGCCGAAAGGGGCATGTGCTTCGTGACCAAGAGGATTTCAAAAATGAAATGGGAGCCAGAGTTACAAAGAAAAGAAGTCGCAGTGCAGGCGCGAAAAGGGCACATGAACAGCGAAATAAGAACGCTTGTTATGGCCTGAAACTTGCTGGGGTGCTCCTGGAGCATGTTTGGAAACCGATGAGATTCGCGAGAGAGCGATATAGAGAGAGAGAGAGAGTACCGGGACGCTTTTTTGTGGCCGCAAGCAATCAAACAAGCGGTTCTGCCTGTGTGATGAAGAAGAGCGAGGCAAACCAAAGATTGAGCGCTGGTGACACGCCTGCCTGCAGGCTGGCGAACCTTGCAATGATCGGCCACAAGATATACAAGATGCGCAGAAACAGACATAGGTGACACAGGTAGAGTTTCAGCAGGGCACGGTGCCCCTGTCAGATGTTTCACTTGTGGCACAGTGGGGCGAAGCCCCGCCTTGACAATGATGCCTTGCTGCACACACTGCCGCACAGAATGCACCGCATAGGGTGAAGGGCTTCTGTGCTGCACGATCCAGGGTAATCCATTGTCCTGCGACCATCTGGTCACAAACACGGGCATTGCGTGTTTGTCCAGCTCAGACTTCTGAAAGTCTTCGTTGCGAAAACGGGAGGTTGCTTTGAGCTTCGTCTCGCGCGAAGATATGTTACATGCGCTTGTGCCGCAAACTCGATTGGGACGTGCGCTTGAGGGATTTGGTCTCCGCCTTCATTGCCCAGTACGGCGTCGACGCCACTTGGTCGTGTTGTGTTTCGCAGGAATGCCGTTGGTGAACGTCTGCTGTTTCAAGACATTCAAGGCATCGGCAGAAGGTGCGTTGAGAAATCTGCCAGCGGATGCGCAACGCCAGGCAAGTGCCGGAAAGTCAAGCATAACTGTTTCCAACTCTGACTTGTCTCTGTCAGGTCATCGGAGAGGGCCCGCTGAGAGGGCTGAATGCGTCCGCGTTGCTCATGAGCCGAATCAGAAGGCCTGCTCCTGACAGCTCCATTGGATGTTTCATAGCACGCCGAGCGAAAGCGAACTGTTGTTCTCAAGCAGGGTGCAGGGAAGCCTTGCGGCAGTCACCTCACATCCGCGCTGAGCTTAGCAACCAGTTCGTGCGCTCTTCTAGCTGAGCTCATGCGGTGTTCGGGTCTTGGCACAGCCTGAGCAGTGCAAGTTGTGAAATCATGCGGCGTTGAACCTGCAGTGCATGTTATAAGGATGGGTCCTGGAGGAATGAATCCGCCGATGCCTGCAAAGAGCGGGGTGGGCCCGCTGTAGCAGACACTTCGGCAGCCTGTCTGCTGCCATGTATGCTGTAGCTTGCTATGATGCATACGGTATGCGACAGGTGTGACTCCACGGTTCGAGTTGCAGTCGTCAGGCTCAGGTTCTGCGTCCATTTAGACACAGGCTGCCGAAGCTGGCACCAAACGACTTTGAGTGCCATTGACGACGGAAAAATCTGCTGCAGCCTGAGGTGCGAACAGAACTGTCTCTGTGGCAGCAAATCCATTAGTACAGTTTACACCACGCAAGACTTTCATCAAGTCTTGACTTGATATCACTATGCATCCGTCACGTTGCCGTTTCATGCTGATTGCTTTTGCCAGCCGAAAGCATGCCCCAACCTACAGCTCGGCCAAATCTGAAGTTCCACACAGAAAAATCGCATCGCATTCCCATGGCTATACCCAGACCTCAGTCGTTGAAAAAAAACCTGCCCTCGTACCCTGTCTCTGTCAAGGAGTGAAGGCTAGATCATTTGCCATGTCTTTCTTGGTTGCTGTGGTCCTGCTTGTCATGTCACGCGTTTGTGAGCCCCTTCTGTTGGCTCAAGGGGCGACTGCACAGCTTGTCACAGTAAGCTCTGCAGGACCTTGATTTTCAACCCCTCGGCAGCAAGCCTACTGTCACTGCCATGGGCGTTTCGCGCGAGCAATTGTTCAAGTGTGCCCGCAGTTGTCTGACGGCACTTTTCTTGTGTATCTCGCTGGCGGTCTCCAAGATTGTATTCAGAAGACATGTGACCCTTCCGAGGAATGAAACAGAAGCAACGAGAAGTGCGGAAGGGTCTTTCCTAGGCGCCACCAGCACAAGCCAAGCTGCTGCGAACCCAACAGCTGCAATCACAACTCTTGGTTTCATACAGCCATCAAAGACGGCCACTCACCCTGACGAAAACAAAACTACATGGTCCGTTGCTGGAATCATATCCGCAGTGTCTTTCCGTGTTGGTGAAGTGGATGTTTCGTGGCCTGCTATTTTGAGCAGCGGTTCTCATCAATACCTTGAATTCTTCTTGGCCTACGCCCACAGGCCAACGAGTCTTATGATGGAAGAGATGTGCTGAACGCAATTCTACATATTCGATAGCAAGTAGGAGTATCTATATATTAAATTATGTTTGAACAGCCGTCAAAAAAAAACCTCCGTAATTGTAGATAAGAGTAGGGTGACCGTGGAATGCCGGATCTTACCAATATCCTTGGAAAGCGATAGGACCCCCCCAAAAAAAGCGATACGATCAACAAAGGTCATATGTTGTGACATGTCAGTGCTGCCGCGGCATGTATTCCTTAATTTTCCGTGTGATATGTGGCTAGGCAATCAATCGATACCCACTAGTTCGTTTCGTGACCCGCTGCGCATTCTGATGGAAAAAGGGCAGTGTAGGGCAGATAAAGGGCAGGAAAGAGCAGTAAAGGGCAGTAGAGGGCAGCTCAAGGCAATAAAGGGCAGCAAAGGGCAGTAAACGGCAGTAAAGAGCAGTAAAAGGCAGCAAAGGGCAGTAAGGGCCTGTAAAGGGCAGGAAAGGCCGGGTAAAGGGCAGTAAAAGTAAGTAAAGAGCAGCAAAGGACAGTACCTGACAGAATTGAGACGAAATCCTTGCAAAGCCATAAGACCCTGCAATTCATCTATGGTCTGTCCATGAATAAGAAGTTTTGACGAATGCCCAATAATAAAAAAAGATATAGGTCGTTTTTTGTAAAATATAAACTATAAACTATAAACTATCATAATTTGATCTAAGATAATATCGAAAATTCATATACGTATGCTTCTAGAAAAGAATATTTATCGATGGTATCGACAGATTTCAAATATATTTGTTATTAAAGTTTTTTTTAATTATTCTGTCTTATGTTTGATGAATACTGAATACAAACTTAGTTTAGATTAATATTGAATTATATATGTGTTTGAATATTTGGATTCAAAGAATTGATTTCTCTAGATGATTTATGTTTATGTGTGTATATATATATTAAGGAAAAGAGATTTTATATATTATAAATTAATATATTTTCTAGTTCGAATTCGAGAATGAAAAAATATTAAGATTCTATATATAGTACTATCTATTTTAGAATTGGTGATTTATACATTAAAATGTGAAAGGTTATAATTTGAATATTTATAAAATCTGAAAATATGATTCAAGCTATTTTATTTTTGATTCTTCTAATTATTTAATAGATGAATAAACGTCATAAAATAATACTAATGATTTACTAATCTTATATTGAAATCTCTATGAGGATTTATATTTATTATCTATACGAAGGAAATGTTTTTATTACCCGATTTGTTTAGTTGTTTTATTAAATGCCATTTTTGGCTTAAGCTGGCTCGACAGGCAAGTAGGGTGGCCAGGGCAGCCATGTCGCCACAGG